GTTTATCTTCATGTCTGCCTGCATATAAGAGTGTGTCTGTTTCTGCACGTGTGTTTGCGAGCGGGACGGACGCCAGGGCCCAGACGGAGAGGACGATAGCAGGAGTGACTCTTTCGTTTCCGTGGTGAGGTGGTGGACGGCACCTTGCTAGGGCCTGTTTGAAAGCCCACCCACATCTGCAGGGGACCCCGGCATATGTACCTGTATCCTGACCACTCATCCTTCATGCCAGACATTTTCAGTAGCTGTGACTCTCACTCTGCAGGAAACAGCAGTGCCTGTGTATCAGGGAATTGTGGGAGTTCAGGGTTCATCTTTGTGGGCCTGGCCTGGTTGGAGGAAACTGCACGGCCGCCCATAAATCTCTATTGACTCACTGCGCTGAAATGAGCTCCTTTCCTGCCCCTGCACGGTCTCCCTGGGTAACCCAGTTTCATCCTGGAAAAAAAAATCCCAAATTAATTTCACAAAGCACAGCGCCTGCGGTGTTTCCCTTGATACAGCCATTTTTAAGAGGATGCATCCATCTGTGGGTGAACTTTAATAAGAGGATGAACTTTAATAAAATGAGAGGTAAAAGGAAAAGAATGAGAAACTATAGAAGCGCCTTTATTTTTGCTCTCCCTGCCCCACCCCTGCCTCACATAGTGGCTTTGCATCTTTCCACGCTGAAGAGTAGGTGATGCTGATGAACTGGTTCTGTCTCCGCTCTCCCCCCCCACAGGTGACCCGGCCACCCCTACGCACACCACGCGGTACCCCACCGCGGCCGAGCTGGACGCCTACGCCCAGAAGACGGCTGGCAACCCGCTCTCCATCAAGATCTTCCCCAGCAACATCCGGGTTCCTCAGCACAAGCACCTTAACCGCACTGTCAATGGCCTGGACACCACGGGCCAGCGCTACAGCCCATACCCGCACTTCCACACGGCTGGCTATCAGGGCCTGCTGGCCGTCGTCAAGGCCTCACCGGGGCCCAGCGCTAAGGGTGTGCTCAAGAGTGCCGAGGGCAGACGGACTAAGCTGTCGCCGGCCCAGGTGGCCGTAGCCCCCTATCCTCCCCCCACGCCCGCCGGCCTCGGCCTCGGCCACGGAGCTGCCGCCTATCGCGCGGCTTCGGCCAAGCCCCTCCCTGCCGAGGCGCCGGCGATGGCGGTACCCCCTCCCAACGTGACGGTGGCAGCCTCTGTGATCCCCCTGGGCGGGGGGCGAGGCCTCACCCTGCCGCCGCAGTCCAACCTGCCCTCCATCCAGAGCATCATCTACCAGATCAACCAGCACTGCCAAGCGCAGGCACTGCAGCAGGTCTGCCAGGGGGTGGTGGTGGCCCCCGCCCCCTCTAACGCCAGCCCCTCCAAGCAGGCCACCTCCTCCTGCTCCTCGGGTGGGGGCTTCGCGGCCAGCCTGGCGGCCCAAAGCGGGCTGGCGTACACCGGCGCGGAGGTGGTCAAGGCAGGAGCCTACGGGGACAGTGTGGACTACCTCCTATGGCAGCAGCAGCAGCAGCAGAAGCAGCAGCAGCAGCAGGCCGCCCTGCGCATGTACAGCGGTGGGAGCGGAGGAGGCGGAGCCCTCAGCAAGTCCCCGGAGGCGTGTCTCCCTGGAGGCGGGGCCATGGGTGGGGCCTCTGCATCTAGGCCCTACCCACTCCCGGCTAGCATCAGCGGGGGCGGAGGCTTGGATAGGCTGGGCTCCTCACCGTTGAACTGTGCCGCCATGCATGGCAACTTCTCTGTTGGTCAGTACTTCGCCCCGCCCTGGAACAGCGTGCTGGCGACGCCGGACAGCGACTGCTACAACCCCCAGGAGCTGCCGCCGCCCCAGCCGCATCCTCACGTGGCCCACGGGCACCTCCACCCGCACACGCACCTTCATCACCAACAGCACCAACACCATCATCACCCCCACGCGGCCACGGACAGTGGTGGGGGCAGCGGCCTGTGCTGTGGCCTGCCCAGCAGGAGCCTGTGCAGTGCCTCCACCCTCAGCAGCAGCCTGCAGTCACTGGAGTACCTGATCAATGACATCCACCCGCCCTGCATCAAGGAGCAGATGCTAGGCAAGGGCTATGAGACCGTGTCCGTGCCGCGGCTCCTCGACCACCAACACGCCCACATCCGCCTCCCCGTCTACAGATAAGGAGCCAGCGGGAGTGAGGGGGGGTGCATGTGGAAGCAGGGGGGCTCTCGAGCGTGAAAAAGCATAGCTTGCGTGTCATGCGTGGTGTCGCTTTGAAAGGGGCACAGGATCGATCATATTGGATTCATGGACTGGAAGGACCCTGCTGTTGGTGTCAACGGTGGGGAAAGGGGTGTGGATCTACTGAGAAGAGCGCCTCCTGCTGGAATTTCTGTAGTGTAGTTTGCCAACAGGGATTGTGTGTATGTGTGTGAGAAAGACGGAGTGTGTGTTTAAATTGGTTTCCTGCTTTTTTTTTTTTTTTTTATTTCCTTCGGGACAATATTCAAGGCTTGACATGACATGCACACAAGCTCCAGGTACCCCCCGACCCCCCGAACACACAGAGCAGACTGGCCCAGTTTGAGGGTTCCTTCCTGGGAGCAGTCAGGGCTTGCTGGTTAACTCCAAAATGAACACGCAGGAACACAAGTGAACAGACGCAAAAAAAAAAAAAAACATAAAAACAACAAACTGAGCTGACTCACTGTTTTGGAAGAGCACGCATAAATCGTAACGTTTGTTATACGCTAACAGTAGCTATAATCTAATTGCACTGCTTGGAGTTTTAAATAAAACCAGTGGACATACTGGGAGGTTGGAGCTGGGTACAAAATATTAAAAAGAAAAAAAAACTTGAAAACTTGAACCTATTTTGTTGTTTTATATATATTTGTAGGTATACAACATTGTATTGGCTGCTACAGGGAAAGATTTCTCATAAAGCATTAGTTTTCACGTGATTTAAAAACAAAACGATAATAATCAGTGTGTTTTCCTCTGGCTGACATGACGCTTCTGGTGTCAAGATTGCAAGGCTTGAAACCACGCCTTTGTGTAGAGCTCTGTAGAGCGCGGGCCAGCCGCGCGGCTGGTTCTCTGTAGAGCGCGGGCCAGCTGCGTGGCTTTGGTTCTCTGTAGAGCGCGGGCCAGCCGCACGGCTGGTTCTCTGTAGAGCGCGGGCCAGCCGCGCGGCTTTGGTTCTCTGTAGAGCGCGGGCCAGCCGCGCGGCTTTGCTTTTCCACACTGGAAATGGCAGGAACATGGCACAGGTTACACAAGAGGAAACCGGATAGATGATTTGTCAGTGATGAAAATGTTACCAGAGGGGGTCCTGGCCTCCTTTGTGTGTGTGTGTGCGTGCGCGTCTGTGTGTGTCCTTCAGGCCTCTACCCTGTGCTGCTGCTGGTATCCACCATCCGCTCACAAACCCTTGTGCTGAGTACCTGGTTTGAAGTCCGAAAAGGGCTTTTGTCTGTAATGTGCTGCTGGAATCCTGAGAAAGTCATTTGTTTTCTGAGATTTTGTCAGCTGCCAAAGACAGCTGCAGTTTATCAACCTTAATTTCATCGTTTTTTTCTTTCTTTCTTAAGAAGTCTCATAAATTCTGGGCTGGGGGGCAGGATAAAATTCCGGAGATGAGCTGGTGGATGGGATAAGGAAGCATGAACCGGGGGGGGGGGGGCTTGCTCAGAATTAAGAAAAACGCCATGGTGACATACCCCCCTCCCACTTTGGGACATGTGTAGGTGGGGCCACAGCCTCACAGCACAACTTAAAGGATATTGGAGTGGGAATTAGCAGAACACATCACTATCTCCCTGCTCTTTCTTTGGGGGAGGGGGGAGGGGAAAACAACATGGAACAGACAGACCTCGTAACTGGAATAAGTTCACCCAATTATCTCACTTATTAGCAGGAATTGGACCCAGAGAAGGGGCCGGTCCTGGGAGACCCAAGGGTGGTGTATTTTTGGGACCCAGATGGATGTAGAAGTGATCAGAGTGGGAGTGATGCTCCAGTTCTGCTGGAGGTTCCCGCCAGGAGTCATTTCACGTAGGGTTTAACGTGGGGGGGGGTCTCATCCCGCTGGTGCCCGGAGACGAGCGGCACTTAGATCAGCGTTGCATCACACACCTGCACGGATTTCGGCGCTAGATCAAAGGCATGGAAATGTGACAGGAAATTGGATCGGAGTCACACTCGTTACCTGCCCAGATTCCCCACAGTTGCCTTTGTCAGCCAGTAAATTGCATACGTTTAAACATCTGGCGAGCTAACGACACTTCGTACCTATTTCAGTAAATTACTGGTATCTAGACACCCGCTAAGGGGAGTGCCAAGGTTTGTGTGCTGTTAGATACATATTTGAGCTATGTGTGTCCTGCTTAGGAATGATGAGTTCACACCCCAGGTCTCCATTATTAACAATTAACAAATAACAAGTGCGATTAGTGACTTACGGGGGGGTCTGATTGCCTAAAATGGCCAGCTTTATTTCTGAGAGAATCCCGAGTAAATCATGGTATCCATGCTTGCTTTTATTGCTGTTTTACAAATCGCCAGTCCAACAGAAAGGCACTGTGAGAATGATTGGCACCGGTGTTTCCATCCAAATGATTTTACAGTTATTTCTCGCTGTTTCCGGTGGCCTGAGCTACATGCACTCAGGATTTGATTTGTTTTGTCTGACCTGGCTAGGGGGATTGTAAACGGGGCACATCGGTTTAGAGGGAATTTCTAAAGGAATTACTTTGACCTTGTTTCTCTACCCTGAGCAATGCAACAAGGGTTATTTAGTTCTCTCTTTGTCATGTTTAAAATATCCCTGCTGGCAAGGAAGAGGGATTTCCACTAATAGGCTGCCATTGCAGCGCTAAAGCTCTTTCGTCTTCGAAAGCGGTGGGACGAGCCGAGCCGTTGAAGATCCAGCTTTTGGGCACGACGCCCCGTCTTAGTGAGCTGCCTTAGTGCCACGTCTCGATCCGGCGATCCTGGCGCAGCTTCCGGGCTGCACGTCACCCCCGTGTGCCAGACGCCCGTCTAGGCTTTGTCCCACTCTGCTGGGGGTGCATCCTGCTCGCGTCCGTGGCTCAGGAGCTCCTTGTGCTTGGTGTGAATGGAGCGCGCGCAGCAAATGCGAACGGGAGCCACCTGTGTGAAGTATCCGTTCCTCGTTCCATCCTTCATGTTGGCGCGCCATGGATAGCGCCCAAAACTCAGCATCCTCAGAAGATCTCAGATGTGCGTGTGATGTGGATCAGGAGGCCCCGTTCCTGGCCGTTAAATAATTAATTGCGTACGTAAATGGCCGGGAGATTACAAGTTCTGTCAAATGCTTTTGGCACACCAAAGGAAGAAGGCCTTCTGCGGATATAATTAGGATATCCATGCTTCAGAGCCTCATCTGGATTGACCGATGAGGATGAGTCGAGCTCCCCGATTAGACAGGCACTGTGAAACTTCATGTGCCGTATTGCTTTCGCTCACAGACGTCCTCAGAGGCTCAAAGGCCGGCCGTGGCACTCTCAGGGATCGGGGAAAACAGGGTTCTTTTGAGCTTTCCTTTGGATCAGTGTCTACTTGAAAGGAACGTCTCTCATCGTGTCCCCCAGGGCCCCCGTCCGGTTTCCCGTGTCTCTCGCCATCTTTTATCTCTGTCGCTTTTTGTCTTGTTGTTGTAAATGAATCCGCTGAAGCCGAGGGCTGTTTTCCTGCCGTCTTCTTCCTGTGAAGCCAAACTCCAAACACAAGCACTCACACAGCTGATATCCCAATATCCCTGCCCCTGCGTCTCCAGTCAGACTCTAGATGTTTTATCTCCCATTGGCTGGGTCGCTGCTGTTGGGTTGCTGTGATTGGAAGAGAGTGAGGGGGCCGGGGCTGGTTAGGAAACCTGACCACTTCAGGTAGTTGAAGATGAAAAGTAGATCCATACGACTGAGATAAACAATCAATCCTCCTAGCTTATTCATTAGTGTTGTGCTTCGAAGCTTAGTTTGGTCTTTACTTGTTTGCTCTGCTTTGAGTGGGGATTTGAGGAGCCCTTGATTTGGGGGTTGGAGGGGTGTGTAGCAGCTAGTGGAAGACGGTTTTGTTAAGATCCAAATGGATGTGTGCTGTTTGCTCCAGTTCATGGCAGATTCCCTTCAGCAGCTAAGAAAGGGGACATATGGCACATTATTTTATGACCCCCCCCCACACACACACAAACACACCGCATGATACATGGGTTTTCCACACATTTAGCACAGCACTTAAACCACGGTGCCCAATTTGGGTCAGTAAGGTGACCGTTCATCCAAAAAATGGCCCCCATTTCCTGTGCCCTGCTTCCCTCAGCAGTGGGACTTGCGTGGCTTCATACGCCTTCACTACAGCAGGGTAAAAGATGGACTCTTAAATCTGTGAAATGAGAAAATGATTACTGAACTCTTTGATCAAATGATCCAGTCTCCCTTGCTAGCTTTCCGATTCTCCTCTCATTCATCTCTTCAGATCTCCACGACGTCTGTATTGCATTGCCCTTGCCATGTTCAGTCAGCCACCTTAAGGCCACAGAGGGGCTACAAGTGGGAACAAGGGATGAAGCTTCTGGGCCGTGTCTCCTACTGGCCTCACTGAGCGGAGATGCATCACGGTCTGGGTGTCCTGAGTCTCGGTGTCCTCATGAATGGCCCGGATTGTCTCGGGCCTTTTGAAGTTACACCGCAAATTTAATTCCCAATTCAAACTCTGCTGGACATTAACTGGTCTCTTAAGAACTGCTGTGTGGTAGCTTGAAGGTGCCTGAAGAACAGAGCAGAGGAATGTTCCTCGTTTATGTTCCCTTACATAAACTCAGCACCCTGCATAAACACTCTGCCTCCCTCTCCCTTTGTCCTGCTTTAATTCCCTTAACCTCAATTAAAACCGAGTTCTGTAAACGGTGCTGCCTCTGGGCCGCGTGTGAGGGGGGGGTCAGGGAAACTCGGTGTTTACCTTCACGGGGCCGTGACACCAAAGCTGTCTCTCCCCGTGTTTGTTTGCCCGCCTTGCCCCCGCCCCCCCCACCTCACCACACATGTGGCCCAGGGCAGAGGCGCTAAGCGGCTTTTCGTGGGGCCCGGACGCCCTTCCCAACCCCCCCCCGGCTGCTCCTTATCGACGCAGAGGTCTTTTCAAGGGCACGTAAAATCGCCAGGGGCAGCCGTCCATGGAGACCCAGCGATGAGGACACCGTTCAAGGGCGATGGGGTGCGCGGGGGGGGGATGATGCGTGGAGGCGTTCCAGAATGGAGAAGTCTCTGCCCATCCCTCACGGCTCATTTTCCAAAGGGGAGCCAAAAAATCAGGAGGTGGGAAGCGGCGGCTCGCTGGGGGCCGCGGTGTGGCAGGTGCGGTTTGCGCTCCGCACTCCATCATGGCAATTGATTACTGTACTTAATGTGCTTAATGAATAGACTGGGCCTCTCTGACGGCCCCGTGGAGATCCCTCCCTGGCAGGGCCTCTCTGACGGCCCCGTGGAGATCCCTCCCTGGCAGGGTCTCTCTGACGGCCCCGTGGAAATCCCTCCCGGGCAGGGCCTCTCTGACGGCCCCGTGACGATCCCTCCCTGGCAGGGTCTCTCTGACGGCCCCGTGGAGATCCCTCCCGGGCAGGGTCTCTCTGACGGCCCCGTGGAGATCCCTCCCTGGCA